GGCCTGCGGCGGCCCCCGGGGTCCCCTGGAGCCCTGGGTGGCGGAGGGCGCAGGGAGGCCAGCGCAGCCGGAGCGCCAGGGCGCGCGGGAAAGTTTGTTTTTAATTAAAAGGAAACTCCCTCCCTCCCCCCTCCCCCGGCGAGAACGCGATGTTTCAGAGCACGGATTTGTTTACCACACTGGAATCTGGAAAAAATAAATGCGGGGAGAGCGCATTTTCTTTTGATTTTTACAATAGGAAACGGTTCTGCAGTTGAAATTGAAACCCTTTCTAGTCTAAAAAAAGTTGAATTGCAGGGGAAGGGTCCGCTGCTGTTCTGCCTCCCTGACCGGGAACCGCGGGCCCGCCCAGCGCCTGCAGGTGGTGGTGGCGGGGTGCAGGGTGGGCTGCGGGAGACTGCTCTCAGATTGGAGGCCTAGACCCGTCCATGGCGTCCAGAAGGAAAACGCTTCCTGCTGGGAGCGAGGGGCAGAAAGCAGCGGTTCGCGGCCCTTGCTCGGAGGTGCAAGCTTCCCAGGCTCCAATCTCCCTTTTCCTAGATGGGGGGTGGCACGGGGGGGGGGGTGTCGAATGGGAGGCTGAGAGGTGGTAGAAGAAGGTGGAGGCCCCAGGAACCAGGAGGAGACAGAAGTTGGCTGTGCCGGGCAGCGGACCCAGGGCGCCGACTGGGGGTGGGGGCTCCGTGCCGCCCAGCCCAGCACCAACTCCGTGGTCTGCGCCCCCCCTCCTCCCGCCCTCAGTGAGTTCCATCAGCCGCATCTTGAGGAGTAAATTCGGAAAAGGGGAGGAGGAGGAGGTCGACCTGGAGCGGAAAGAGGCAGAGGAGAGCGAGAAGAAGGCGAAACACAGCATCGACGGCATCCTGAGCGAGCGAGGTAAGCGGCGCGCCGAGGGCCTGCGCCGGGGCGGACAGTCGCGCTCTGGCGCCGGGGGCCGGAGGGTGGCCCAGCTCCCGCGGGTGTCCAGGTCTCCTGGCTCCTGCCCACGCCACCCGGGTAAGAGCCTTCGAGTGAGGGACGCACTTGCAATCAAAACGAACATTTTCTCTTTTGCTTTCTCTATTTTACAAATCTTTCTTCCGCCTCCCCTCCAGCCCCCGGTAGTTTATGACTATGAATTGCGTTTTAGGTGCGGGGCCACCCTCTTGCCTTTGGGCGCGGGACGGGGTGCCTGGAAGTGGTTGGGGACGGGGGAGACAGTCTGTGATCCTCCGAGGTGGAAGGAACTTTTGCGCCCTCAGGAAAGGCCCTGCTGTCCAGAGTTTGTAACATCAGAGGAGAGAGAGAGGGAGGGAGGGAGGGAGGGAGAGAGAGAGAGAGAGAGAGAGAGAGAGAGAGAGAGAGAGAGAGACTCAATACTTTGATAAGCAGTGAGCCCTGAAAGTTGCCCCTCGTCGGTTACCCTATAAATGTATATGTGTAAGCTGTCTGCTTTTTCTTGGTTTTACATTGGTTTTCAAATGCGATGGGGTTTGATTTGTGTGTGTGTGTTTGGGAAGTAAAACCGAGGGGGTCTGGGCTTTGGACCCTAGTGCTGGCGCCACCTGTTCCTCGTTGGCTCCGAACTGGCAGCATCTAGAGAAAATCTCTCCCTCAGAAGCATGAGTGCAGCCTGCTCCCTTTCACATGCTGCGGGTCCTCTTCAGACTTGAAAGGTACCCACCTGCCCGCTCCCAAAGGCAAGTCTACCCCTTGGAGCCCAACCAGGAAGGGGTGACTGCACAGGGAGGTCTCAGCAGATTTGCACCTCAGTAGTTTTGGCCTTGGGGATGGTTGTACCTCTTCAAATTTGAAAAGGATCTGAGTCCCCGCCCCCTCCCCTGGCGTTCTCTTATCTGGGGCCTGGATTTCGTAAGGCCGAGTTTTGAGTTGCCCTAGAGGTCAGGCGACTCTTCAGGTGGGCTTGGAGCCATCACACAGGACTGGCTGGGTCCATGGCCCTCAGCCCGGTAGGACTGTGGACGGTCCTTTCTTTGACCTTTCTGGCTCACCCCCTGGGCAGACCGGTGGGCTTTATAAATCAATGCAAAATCTGTACTCAACCTCAAAAGGACACTTAGCTGTAGATGCTCCAAGTCCAAATGGCTGCTTTCAGATGCTCTGGCACAAACAGGTGATCGAGAAAAAAACCACCGGAAGCCGTGGCAGGTTGCTTCCCTCCTTTTGAAGCAGGGCTCTCACAGAGGCTCGGACTCGGTCTGAGCTTCTCTTTTGAGAGGGGTGCTTCCTTTTCAGTCTCTGAGAAGACATCTCAGCTTTTATTCCAGCCCAGATACAGCGCGGAGGTGCTGGGGAGGGAAGACAGTGAGAAAGCAGACACCCCCAAACCCAACGGGCCCCTTCGGGCAGGGCAGTGGGGCCAGGAGCCCAGAGCAGCCCAGGGGCTCCAGAAGGACTGGGGGGAGGCACGGCTTTGCTACTTGTTGCCGGAGGCGCGGAGCGAGGCAGATCCGAGGCTCCCTCACAGCACAGGCAACCGAGGCCCAGGAGACAAAACGCCCCAAATGAGCTGGTCAAACATTTGTACAACTTTTCCAGCTTTTACAAAGAAGGCCTTCTCTACACAAGCTACACTTGGAGATGAACTTGGGAGACAAAGCCTGGAGAGTCCATTGAAACTCACACTTTAGCTCGGCCCAGACAAAGCTCCGGCTCGCAGCAGCTTGATGTGAACAAAGGAAGGCAACCTTTTTATAATTCAAGGAGAAAAGAAGAGAAAACAGCCCCACAAAGGGCGGCGAATAGACATTATGGGCTGGCAATGAGGGATGAATTATTCAATGAGCTCCAATAGCTGCTGCGCCAGGAAGTTTTATGGACTCTCCAGCGTGGAAAAAGTGGCCATTTCACCTACAAAATGTTTCCAGTCTTTTGGGCCGTCTAGCTGGATCGGGCTGCCATTCAAGGGCAATTGCTACCATTTTAAAAATCAGAGAATTCTCCCCAGCGGGGGTCGCACCGTTGAAAACACACACACACACACACACACACACACACACACACACACACACACCTCGGAGGCTGAAGCCTAATTTAATTTGGGGTTGTCAAGGATGAAGCTGCGTCAGTCTCGCCAGCGCCTCTAGCTCCTTTTCCAGATGAACCCCGGAGGGCAAGAGGGGCCCAGAGAAAGGAGAGTGAAGTGTAGTTTGAAGAAAAGTTTAGAAACCTCAAAAAATTCTCTCTGTTGTTTGGGTATCAAACGTCACAGGTTGCCCGGCTTGTGAGATAGAAGGCATGTTGCTGAAGAGCTCTAAGTGCCCTGGCCAACAAGGGACCTTTGGGTGTCCTGACCAGGGCGCTGTGCTCGCTGGAGGTTCCAGCTTCCTTGTGGGCCTGGAGGGTGCTGCTGCGCCTGGCTTTCCAGGGGACATCTTTCCGCTTGTCCGACACTAGGACACAGGGGAGAGGCACCCCGAAAGAGGTCAGAACCACCCTCGTTCCTCTTTCCAGGGTCTTGCTCTTTCTCTTGCTCCTTTCACCTCCCCAACTTTCCCTTGCCCCCCCACCCCAATCCAGGGACAGTGCAGCGTGCCCACCCGGTGCGCTCCGGCCCTGGTGCCCTTGCTGGGTCCATCCTTCCAACATCTTTGCGGGTGGAAGAGGAGGATTGGGCGATCAGGGCACTACACCAACCCCACCGCCCCAGCCCCTGGTTGAACAGAGATCCG